CATCAGGGGAAACACTTATGTTAATAAAACTTCTGAAGGAACGTTGTATTCGTCAAGACTAGACATTCCTATACCTTCAATCTGTGAATTAGACTTGAAGAAACTTGATTTGGAGGAGAATAAACATTCTGTTCCTTCCATATACTGTGAGAATTTGGACGGCCATGCTGTTAATGCACAGTGCACTGCTTTTGGCTTGGGAGTTGGAGAAGTTGAAAATGTTCGAATGGATATGCTTGATATACATATAAGCCAGCCTGTTATGAAAATTTTGAGATGGTCGTTTAGTGATGTTATTCATGCTTGTGCACGATTAAGAAATGGTGGCTTGGCAGAACAGTTGATCCTACAGGTATAATATTATGATTACTCGGTCTGAATTATCATGCATCTTAGGAAACTGCTACCATTTATGTATGCAATCGAAAAGTGTAATTTTTCCAGCTCTTGATGCGCAAACTAGTCACATTTTAGTTCTGCTTTGTTTACACAAAAACCCCTTCCTTCATCCTTCATCGTGTTTTTTTAATTATTTTTTTCTGACTAGAGTATTTGCAATATATGAATGCACTTAATTTCTTTTCTTTTGTTTTTGGTCTGAGAATGTACTTCCATTTCAAGTTGAATAGATAAGCTATAGAAATTCTTCGATAGCCCATTGCGTGACCACATTTTTGGATGCAATAAGAACTCTTACAAAAAGAGAATTTTTTGTTGTCCTCATTAGTTTCATTTATGGAAAGTTCAGATGTTTATAATGACATTTAAATGAAGACAATTACTGAGTTCATTTTTTAAAAACGAAAAAAGAAAAACAAATGGAAAGTTGCATTTTTGTCTTCTCTGAAAACAAAAGTAATTTAATTAATGATGATGACTTTGAGGAAGATGTTGAATCTTGTTTTGTTCCAGATTCTATTGGAAGATGATGACATTGAGGAAGCATTGAATCTTTTGGATCAAGCCAGTTCAGAACGCAATGAACTTGATACCTTGCTATTTAATACCATTCTTGAAAAAGCCTGTGAAAAGGTAAGATCAAAAGAGCAGCATGGTTCTCGATATACATGATTATAATTTGATCAACCACAAAAATTGTGGTTGCATTATTCGATAGTAATATATATTTTTCTTCTCCCCTGCAATAAATGTCAGGAAGTGATTGAGGTAGTTGAATTTGTCGTTGAGTGGATGCACCAAGAAAAAGTCCAGCCGGATCCAGCGACCTGCCATTTTGTTTTCTCTGCATATGCCAACAGTGGTTTTCACAGCACGGCCATGGAAGCGCTGCAGGTTTTGAGTATGCGCATGATATGTGAAGAAGATGGCAGCTTTCCAGAAAAGGCAGAATTTGAGGATGACTTCATCTTTGCTGAAGACACGGAAGCTGAATCACGAATAGTACAACTTTTTAAAGATTCTGAAGAGAAGCTTGCTGTTGCCCTTTTGAATCTAAGATGGTGCGCCGTGCTTGGCTTCCCAATTTCATGGTCACCTAATCAAAGCCCATGGGCCAGAAGACTGTCATCTAACTACACTGCCAGGAAAGGAGCCACCTAATCATGATTTATATATAGGTGGCATTAGGACTCCAGTGAGTTTCCCTTTATTATTATTATTTTTTGTTGTGGTCGAACGAAGTGTAAGGCCTCCTCAGGGAGGAAGGGGAGAGGGTGAGAGGCACAGATGAGGTCTTGATGAGGGTGTTAAATACCTAGTGCAACTAACTAATGTTGAATAAAAAAACAAGACCGCAGATATATTAGATTTGTATTAGGCTAGGCTATATTTGAGAAAATTAGGGGATGCCCTTTTATCTTTTTTGTTTCATTACGTTACTTTGCAAGTTACTGCTTGTATATTTAAAAGGGGAAATCGTGCTGCAGCTCTCTAAACTGTGCCTAGGAGGAGGCATGTTTTGTTGTTAATTTAACAAAAAAAAAAGATAAAAAATGTATTGATATATTTTTTATGCTTTTTTATTCTTTCGCAAGTTTGCTTTGATCGCCATCTTCTGTTGTCATTGTACTTTTGTTGTGGTTCAAATCAGTGATGTTGCCATTTTCTCCGCAGGTTAGAATGAGCTGTTCTCCTCCAGGGAGGGAAAGAAGGGTGCTGCTGGCAAATTCTTTAAATATTTTCTTCCGA